AATCGTTTAGTCAGTTCTCGATTAATCGTTAACTACTTTGCGTTTATTGTTAACCTCATTGTTTATATTAGTCGGTTAACTGTAATCGCTTAATCAAATTCCGGTTATTTTGTTGGTCAACCGAACAACCATTCAGCAAATGATTCGGTAATACTATACCGAAATAATGGATCGATAACCTAACCAATGGAATACCTGCTCAATTTTTTCAATTGTGCATTTTTGTATATTTTCTCCTACATACGTTGTGTTCTTTTTTTAAGTTGTTATCATCATTGAATAAAAAATCATTTAACATAGATATCAACCCATAAACAACTCATCCAACACAAGTACACAATAACACAATTCTACCGTCCAATTTGATAAAAAACACACACACACACACAAGAATAAGAGACCCAACAACAATTACTCAAATCATATATCCCACTAAGTTATATGGAATAAAAAATGTTACTGATTGTTATCGAGCTAGTGTGTGCAATACTGCAACTCCAACTTTCTACTATGCTCCTTCTAAAGCCTTTACTTGAAATTATTCTCATTTGAACCTAAGCCATTATTACAACCAAGGGACGTAAGCGATCTTGTAGGTCTTCAAACATCTCATTATTTTTGGTCTATGCACGTGGCTCATCGAGGCATATTATTTTTGGCCTTAACTATGAGGATGACCGTAATCGATTAGTTGGTTAACCGTTTAACAGTCGGTTACTAACCATATAACCGTCAGTTAGTAATTAGTTAAATTTGGCTACAGGAACCGTTTGTTTACTATTTAAATGATTATCGGTATAACGCTAACCACGGTTCTGGTTCATTTATCGGTTACACAGATAACATGATAACTGTTTATCATGCCTAATTATGATTTTGGCTGAGCTTGTCTATCGAGGCCAAAAACAATAACTGCCTTGGAACTATTTTGGTACGATTTTCTTTTTTCCAATGGCGATTAGAAGGAACGAGAGAAAAATACTCAAGAGGAGGTTTAGCAGCTAGTATGGTAGTGGGCAATAGGGGCGGGTAATGAGTGGGTTGGTTGGTTTCGGTCTTAAACTAATCCACCCACTAACTAACAAGTTGGGACAATTGTGAATGACTTTGAGGTTGATTTCATCAATGACCTCGATTATCAGTTCGTGTTTGACATAGTCTGTCTACCTCAGGATTAACAAGTTTGATATGACATGGCTCGTACCACGACAATGATGCTCCAACCTCAATGGTGCATCATCAATACACTTTTTGCTGGCTCCATTCTCCAAAGTGATCGATCTTCCAACAAGGTCATCAAAAGAGATTTACTCGCCTTTACCATCATGTCAGATGTAATTGAGAAGCTGCACCTTGGGTCATTTTTGGCAACTTCATTCTCCAAGGTAACAAGAAGCCAGCGTAATCGGATAATGTATTTGGGGCACTACAACACCAAGTTGGCCCGGTATCTCAACATCGACCTTAGTATTTGCACCAAGGTGGACCACACTACAAACTTCTAGGATGGGACCTTGGGTTCCATGCGTTCCTTTCTGATCCATTGAGGGTCTTTTCCAGCCACCAGAGCAACACCAGAGAGCTCCACCACCACGTCGACGTGGCCATGCTGGTGCTTCTTCAACATCCAGAGTCGGTCCTTCTTCCTCGGGAAACCTTGAGGCCCGAGTCTCTGCCCTCGTGGAGTAGTTTGCAGGAGTTTCATCCCAGATCGGCCGAGAGCGTGACGCCCGACGACATTCACATCGATTGAAAAAGGCGATGCTCCATGCCTAGGGCATCGTGTTCTAGGATCCCGAGTGGCCTCCTTCACCTCCTCGTCAGGGGTAGTCAACTCTTTAGTGCCATGTTAGCACCGTAGTAACTCCATCTTCCATTGACTTACACTTTTTGTTTATTATTTTTGTGTGTTTACCTAGTACTATTGTATTGTTTTTCTTATCTTGTGATGTTTTGAATATTGTGATTGTGTAATAACCTCGTCTTGAGCGAGCATGTGGTTGTTCCGTGTGAAGCTCTCTCTCCCTTGAAAATGCTTCATCTCCAGTTCGACTTTCACTCATAATGATTCAGCAACTTTTTTCTACCCTTATCCTTGCTCCATTTGCAACAATGTCGTGCTTATGTGTATTTGTGTGTTGGGGGGGGGGGGGGGGTGTACATATATTTGTAATTGGCGTGTGAATAATGGGTATAAATGGCCTATTTGAATGCTTTGGAACCTTGCGATTGCCAAATTTCTACAATTTGAAGGCTCCAAGCACTTGTGCATGTATGATTGATGAATGCCCGATATTGGGATGTGTTTTGGAACCTGTATTCTTGCTTAACTTGAAAATTCTAGGGGTTTCGAACACAATTGTCCCAAGCATGCTTTGAATTGTTTGATGATTGTGATGGTGTGCATTATTGGGAATGGTGAGGTGATACGAACATTCTAGATAATGAGTGGCTTTACTTCAATTTGCTATCGTATGTGTGAAAGTGTTTGTTATGGAGGTTAGGACATGTGCGTGGGATTCCCCAATTTTAGACTCCAAAAAGTTCTGCAAAAGGTGCAACAATTTGAAAATAGCTTTTGAAAAAATGGAGTGTTCTCACATGAGAGGAAACCGAGTATAGTGTTTGAGTTAAGTAGTCGAAGAGCTTTTCTGTCAATTCCGAATGCCATTTGAGGATGTGTTTGGGGACCAGATAGCTTTCTAGCGTCCCGATCATCTTTCACTATTTTTCATCCCCCCAAACACCTCTCCTCCTCACGAACTTGTATGATAAAGAGATGGTGTGGTTTTAAGCAAGTCATCGAGACCTCGGGCTCTCGTTTTACCTACATGTGTGGCAACTCGGCTATTGTTGAGACTAAAAGTGTAGGCTGGAAAGTGGTGCTTGTGGCAATGAATCCAAACATTAGGTTCCCCATATGCGGCTTTGATAGAGAAGGCAATTTACTTATGATCTTAGCCCGAGGGAGAGATGCCTTAATTTGAAAAATTGCAAAATGTGGGTGCCATGTACAACAGAGTTTAAGTTGAGACTCAAAAAATTGAGTCCTCTTTTGAAAACGTAGGAACACTATCATGGAGTCGTAAGCTTTTCACATGATTTCTATGAGTCCCCCAGTGCACACGTGAAGTGTCTAGACCTCTTTAGTTGACAAGGTCATCATCCGAGAGTATGTGTTGGCACGAAGAGATGGAAGTAAAGTTTACCCGACTTTGATAGTTTTTTAGGCGCCACCGATGATTGATAGTGCATACCATTGTTATTGCCAGACAAGTTGTACTTGTTTGAGTAGATTTGATTGGGGACAAACAAATGTTCAAGTTTGGGTGAGTTTGATTCGGGATAGATTACATGTTTATACCTCTTGCCTTGTGCCATTTGACTTGGTTTGCAACGTCCTTGGAGCTATTTTATGCTAGGTGTGGTCTTGTTTTGTCATGTTTCAGACCTTAACATGTAGAATGGATATCGGGATTGAAAGTCAGACTAAAGGGATAAAAAAGTGAGCAAAATGGACAAAAGTGCATTGATCACGGCCAGAAGGGGATGATCACAGGCAGCAACCGTGGTGTCGATGCAGAAAACGTATAGAGTACAGACTTCGAGGAGACTTTGTGCAGTTCGCAGGCAGTGCTAGGATCACGGTCCCAAACCTTGAAGTCAGCAGCCGAACCATGAAGTCTGCAATTGTCCAGGAGATTTCGTGCAGTTCGCAGGCATTGCAAGGATCACAGTCCCCCGACCGTGAAGTATGTTAATGAAACGGTGCATTTTGCGGTTAGATCACAGTTTCATTGCATACTCCACTGGCGTGAAGTGCAAAGTGATATGTGCACTCGCAGACTATATAAAGGAAAGTGAGCTGAAATCGGATGAGAGTGTTCTAGCGAGAGAGTTAAGAGTTGTTCTTCAAATATAGAGAGAGCTACGAGCAAGGAGGAGTTGAAGGTGAATTTGACCTAAGACAATTGGAGGTAGATTTCATCTCCAAGCATCCACACAAGCAACTAGGAGGAGGAAAGATCACGTTTCCATGGGGGTTCTTTTATTCTAGTTGTTGTTTCTGTTATATCTATGAAATAGTTACTCTATTCACTTGGATGTTAGGAAGCCTAGTGTAGGATGTCGTAGATTGTAGTTTGTTAACTCATTGTGTTGATGAGTATTTTGATTTATATATAGATTGAGGCAGAATCTTGACTTGTGGCCGTGGCAATGTCGGGCTATCTTAGCTCGTATCATCCCCATCCTCCTTTCGGCTCCCTGGGTGAGGGTGGAGTTTGTTCCTCGACGTCTCAACTCGCTTGCCGATTGGGTTGCACATAATGCTAGACTTGACCTTCTTCCGAGAGATTGGGTTGTAATTGCTGATCTTGTTTCTCCACTGCTGTAACAAACTATGTTTCCTCTTGTTCGAATTGGAATAAAGATGCCACATGTTGTCAAAAAAAAAAAAAAAGAAGATTAGAATGAGTAGAAACTAGAAATATAAATATTATATGGCCCGTAGGCAAATGATTAACTTATGTGTAATGAGTAATGACTAATGGATATTTGATCGATCTTGTAATGAATTTTAGACAAATTTAAAATTTCAAAATCCTAAAAATTGATTTTAATGATTTTTTATTCTAGTTGTAAGTTGCAATGTCTCTCTCATTATAACAAGTCGTATGTATCAAATAGTAGGATTCCTCATTCATTTGACTTTTTTTTTTTTTGTGTGTGAATATTTTGAGCATAGTGGAAACAACATATTTGTTCTACCAAAAATGTGAAATTAAATGCATTGCACATTTAAATCACGGGTCTATCTTTGCACCTTTCTTTTTCAACAATAAAAGTCAATAGATTTCTGCAGCCTTATTAAAAAAATTAAAATGTCTTTTCCTTTAAAAAAAAAAAAAACGAAACTAAAATGGTACAAAAGAAGTTTAATAAAATAAGATAACAGTGAGTTATATTAATATAAGTAGACTTATAAAATTGCTAGTCGCCCCTAAACAAGCTCTCCACCTTCCCCTCCAAAATTATGCACTTCTTTCAACGACATTGCCTTCTCCAAATTGCCTCCCAGTTTTGGTAAACTGAAAACCCTCACCATCATCGTTCGATTCCAATCCATTCAAAATCGAATTCAATTCACGATCCCTTTCTTTCAGGGTCGCTATTGAATTTTGATAACGTCCCATTTTTAGCTCTGCCGCCTTCGTTATTTTACCACCATCCCTCCAATTTCTCTGCCTCTCTTTCCCTTTTCTCGGGTAAAAAAACGAATCGTCAGGATGAATGCGGCTGCAACAAAGCCGCTGCCGGGAATCGCTACTCTGAAGGCGGGATTCTGGACCTCGCGCGACGCAGACGCCGTGACCAACTTCAACCCGACGAGGAGGAGGAACAAGGGCGAAGGTCGCTGTTTGAGGATCAAGGCTATGGAAGATTCGCCGGCGAGCTCGAACCAAGCGGGGAGGGTTGCTGACCATAAGGAGTCGTGTTTGGATGCTGTATCGGTGAACGGGCATGCTCACGCCGGTAATCTTTTTACTTTCTCATTCTCTCGGTTTCTCAATGATCAAGTGAGCTAAGTAGGAATTATCCCCCGCCCAACTTATTCAAAATCTCATCTCGATCTTACCGTCGATCCGAATCTTCAACCCAAAAGATTGAATGTCGGTTTTGATTTACCACCGATCTAAACCTTTCTCTTCTGGAAAGAGCAAGCTTGTTTACCGAATTAGGGATTCTAATTCACCATCTTTGTTTCGCCAGCTATTACAGAACTTGTAAAGGGAACGTATTTTGACTGGGTAACTTTAAAGCTTGTGGAATGGAACCTTTTGATCTCCTTTATTGATTTGGGTAGACTCCTGAAGTGCTTTTTTTACGGACAGGGAATAATCGCGGCCCACTATCTACTGTTGGGAATTCAACAAACATCAAGTGGCACGATTGCTCTGTTGACAAAAATGGAAGGCAAAGGTTGCTGAATCAGAAAGGTTGTGTCATATGGATCACGGGTCTCAGTGGTTCAGGTATATTTGCTACTCGACTGTTTAACTTGCTGATGACTGATTTTGGCTTGTGTGATCACATTAGGTGAGTTCCACAATGATTAGTTTGAATGCCATGGTCTGCCTTTCACTACATAAAAAAAAAAACATAGGATTTATCTGAAATAAATGGCTGAACCAGTTCTCTTCAAGATAGCTTCTTGGAGCTAGAGGAGACTGTTCGTACTTCGTACCTCAGTTTTTGGGTACAGGAGTTAATACCTCATTTTTGTGATTTTTGTTCCCTGAAATAATGAGCAAACTGAGAATTGGGACTTGAATCACTAGGAGGCAGATGAAACGTTGACATATATAATTTCGTGTAATGTTAATGGTCTGTATAAGTATCGAGCGATTCCTACTACTATTGGGTTATTCTGCATTATGGTTTTTATGCTATTGGATAAGAAATTGAGTTTTAAGTTCCCTTCAACTAGAGTTATTTGCCCATTCTTAGGGAGAAGACCCATCATCCAATGTGGCATATTTCATTGTGCATTGCATTTGCTCCACTATATCCGTTTCCCAATTTTTGATTTGGAATTCAACTGATAGGAAAGAGCACTGTGGCTTGTGCATTGAGTCAACTCTTGTATCAAAGAGGGAAGTTGTCTTACATTCTTGATGGAGATAATGTAAGACACGGTCTAAACCGTGATCTTAGTTTTAAGGCAGAAGATCGTGCAGAGAACATCCGCCGAGTTGGTAAGCTCGTAGTGCTTTGAATTGTCAACCACTTGTTTCAAATTATCTCTTGAATGATCTGGTTCAGAATTTAACTATTTACAGTGATATACCATCTGGTTTACTCTTTTATGCGTAGGTGAGGTAGCTAAGTTGTTTGCTGATTCTGGAGTAATTTGCATTGCATGCCTGATCTCTCCCTACAGAGCGGATCGGGATTCCTGTCGTGCTATGTTACCAACTGGAGATTTTATTGAGGTTGATGCTTATTACTACCTTGACTCTCTAGTCCTGTTTATATATTCTGTGATGCTCTTTTCCTTATAATGAATGGTCAGATTCCGTTCATTTACTAGTCACGATAATAGAGTTTTATTGACAAACATTATGGACACAGGTGTTCATGGATGTTCCACTCCGAGTTTGTGAAGCCAGAGACCCAAAGGGATTATATAAGCTTGCTCGTGCTGGGAAAATAAAGGGTAATATTTGATAACGCATGTGGTAGTTTCTCACATTAAAAGAAAGCAGTTGCATGAATGTAGTCGGGACTTCGTATTGTGATTTTTTGTGGAAGTCTATAACTTTTTGAAACCTGCACTGGCTTTCCTGGATCAAATGATAATTTCACTGTTGGCAGCATAGAATAAGCATTCAGAGTGAATGCAAAGCACTTGGAAGACTTTGAATAATTGAAGATGATGGTTCCCATTTTGCAGGCTTTATTGGTAGTTTCTCACGTTAAAAGAAAGCAGTTGCATGAATGTAGTCGTGACCTCGTATTGTGATTTTTTGTGGAAGTCAAACTTTTTGAAACCGGCTTTCCTGGATCAAAGGACCATTTCACTATTGGCAGCATAGAATAAGTATTCAGAGTGGATGCAAAGCACTTGGAAGAAATTTGCTAAATAGTTCTTCGATGCTTAGCTTTAACTTTGAACAATTGAAGATGATGGTTCCTGTTTTGCAGGCTTTACTGGTATTGATGACCCATACGAACCACCAAAAGATTGTGAGGTAATGTTTTGCCATGAAACCCAACTGAAGCAAGAAGCATTTGCTTATTCAATATGCATTTGTAGGGTTCTTTGAGTGTTTGATTCCTTGATTCGTGGCTAAATGGTGAAGCAAATAGAGGATAGACAAAAAATAATCTGTAAACCAACCTGCGGTTCTTATAGCGTGTAGTCGTAATACATCTTTCAACTGGGTCATCTTAATGAAGCTAGTTAAATCCATCCATATCAGCTTTCTATTGCCATGTTGTCTAAACTTCGAAGTAGCGCAGTCGTTTTGCACTTGATCATCGCCAACTGGGCAAATTCTCAGTTTGACCCTAGCGTACATGCTTCCAGTTATGCGAACTAAGCAGTGCTCAATTCAGTTATGCTAACTAGGCAGTGCTTAATTTCTGATTCATGTGTTGTGTTTTGTCAGATTGCACTGAAATGCGAGTTGGGTGACTGTGCTTCACCGCAACAGATGGCAGATAAAGTCGTTAATTTCTTGGAGGCAAAGGGATACCTCCAGGCATGAGAAAAAAAGGTCATTATACTAGAACAAGAAAATTTTACCAAGCACGAAAACAAGCTTGGAATATGAACAGCCATACTTGTTGGTTTACCTCGTCCATTCCGTTCTCCAGGGAGTTAGTTTATGCTTTGCGTTGTGTTTTTCTACCCCGGTTTTATGGTGTTCTTTTGTATTCTGGCATCATCTATTCGATTTGTTTGTATTATAACTGTTAAGTTGTGAAGAAAGTCTGTAGTAGCAGTAGTAGTAACTAGTAAGAGAAAAGAAAGCGATGTGTGCTTGTAATGGTGTTGTGAGTTGGTGTAAAAAGTGGCGGGGGAAGAAACTAACAAGTAAAAGAGGAACTTATTCAATTGTATGTTAGATTCATTTTGTTTGTATCTAACTGAGTGTAGGAGGTAAACACGTGAATAAGTAGGTGCGAATAGTGATCGTATAAATTATAGTAAGTTCATAATAAAGTTACAATGATTTATTTATAGCATTTACTGTTGTAGGTAAGGATTAAATGCAAAGTGATATTGTGTCAAAACTATCGAAACTGTGCTTCCAAATTTCATCTTCCTTAGCTACTTGCACTTCCTATGGCACAATATGGTGTAATCGTGGCTTGCTAGGATTTGTCATATCCCCAACAATTGCCTCCCAGCAAGATGAAGTTTACAACTGCCTTATATTTTTTTTGTGTGAGTTGTCTTTGAGTTGGGCGCGCACGTTTCCAGTGATTCCGCGTTGGGCCCTTTTTGTTTCCCCCGAGGTCAATGCTTTCTTTGGGCATTGTTCGGAGAGAGTTGATTTTTGCCAGCTCTTGATTCTTGCGCGAGCTTCTAAATGTGAGGTGCCTTTGGCTCGGACTAGCTATTGTCCGATTTTTGTTTCTCATGGCGCGATTGTCTGTTCTTCTTGGTGTGGCTAACTAGCATTAACACATACGCGAGTACCGTTTGCCCCCTAGGCAGTGATGCGACAATAGCCGCATAGTCTATCATCAGAGCCGCGTTTGTGTTGTTTGGGCGACGTGACAGCTTCTCTATCGCTCGCTTGGGCGAAGAGTATGAATTTCAAATTCGTTGATTGGACGTGGGCGATGTTCTCGAAGCACCGGACTTGACAGTTAAGTTTTCGTGGAGGGCCTATATAATCAGGTCTCTCTGCGGGCTATTTGTTATTCCTAATTCTTACTTCGACGTTTACTTTTCTCTTTTTTTTTATTCTTCTCCTTCGCTTTCGACAATCGTCCTTCGTTCTCATTCCGTCGTGTTCGCTCCTTTGAAATGGGTGTTGAGAAAAGGGTGGTGGAGACAGTGGTCGACTTCGACGAAGAAGGTAATCAACTAAGTCCTCTTGTGAATTTATTTTATATTTCTTTATATTTTACTGGTTTGGATGCTAGTAAGCCATTTTTTGGCGGCGAGAACCCAGAAACATTGTCGATCAGCTCGGGCGATTGCAGTGATGTCCTTCGGAGTTCCTCGGGAGGTGAGTTTGGCAGCGCGAGAGCAAGGTGATGATGTTCCATAAAGCACTCCTTTATACTTTCCAGTAAGAAATGTTCCATCAACAACCATGACTCCTGGACAATTCTTGAATCCATCTATACAAGGTCCATAAGCCTAGAATACTCGCTAAAAGATCAAATGACCTGGTTGCGAAGAAAGAGTTCTTACCCAATCAATCACTGATGTTGGCATTTTTCTCTTTACCACCCGCAAGAATGTTTGCAAATAATCATAAGATTCTTCCCAATTTCCATGCAACTTCTCCAATGCTCTTTCTTTCCCATACCAAGCCTTTTTGTAAGTAACTTGCATATTAAACTTATCTTTCAACTCGGCCTGCACAGTAGAACACTCATATTTGGTTGGGCACGTACCAAACGTTTCACGGACTCAGATATAATGTCGATCACGATGGCGATGATCGGTCGGTTAAGTCGTACTGCTACAAGAATGCACCAACTCGGCCTTTCTCACAGTCCATTCGTTTCCAACATCTCGACATCCAAACCGCACCATTCAAGGACAATTGTCATCCTTGTGCTTCAAGCATCTGACCTTCCAGATTGAAGGTGACGACTCCACCACGACATACGGAAAGTTGCATTGTACTGCGTGGTATTTAATCGCTACATGTGCAGCTTGTTTCGAGTGAAATATCTGCCCCATGTAGAATTTTCCTTCAAAACCAACAACAATAGGCATTGGAATTACGCCATATGAATCAACATATGATAATTCGCCGTCCTCTTCATTACCTTGCGAGTAAAAATATGGACGATAATTAGGATGCTCTCCTTCCCCATCCTCCTCCTCCTCTCCTCATCTTCCTCCTCTTAGTCATCATGATCGGATGGCACGCTCCATGTCTCATCTTCTTCCTCTCCACCCCTATCCTCACTGAGCTCAGCATGTATCTCAGCACCCAAACAATGAGGATTTTGCGCCATAAAATCAAAAAGCACATTCAAGCTATCATCAATAGGCATCACATAATGAAATAAAACACCATTCGGCCATTCTGGAAGACAGTAAGTGAAACCTATGATCACATCACTATATTGTACTGCTTTGTCTTCACGCCGTATTCTCGGAATTAGATTCTCACAAAGTTTGTGATATGTCACCCTGGATGGAACCGTCAACTGAAAACTTCTACCACCAACAAAATGGACGCCCAAATTGTCCTCTACTTTCTCTGATTTCTACCGAATGACTATTTCAAATATTCTAAAATCACTACATAAAAAAAACTCACTAATTACTAACTAAATAAAATCACAATAGCATTTGAAGAATATAATTAAAAAATAAATGTGTCTCTTACCTGTTAGCCATCTTTGCAGCAACCAGCAGAGCTTCTCTCGTCTAACTTCGTAACATAGGTTTTTTGTGGTGAGCAACTGAAAGTAAATCCCTTGTTTATAGTGCTGGAGTGGCTGTGGGAGGCAGCAAACCCACCTCAGTCTCGGGCGCCCCCGCTGGTGGAATTTCATTGCCGCAGTCTTGGGAGCCACCGCTCAATTTTGAACTAAAAAATTTATAAAGTGCCTTCACCTGAGTCTCGGGCGGGCTCGCTATGTGTTCTTTCCAAAACACATATTCGTGTAAATACTTTTTTTTTACGGGAACGTGTAAATACTTTTAAAACCACCATATTGATGGTAAATTTTAAAAAAACAATATTTTGGAAATTTACCCACATTTTTCAGTGACCAATGTCTGGCTTAATTAATTACGATGCGTTTCTGCCCTTAAGGGTTTCTTAAACTCCTTTCTCATTCTTATATGTTATGCGTTTTTTTTCCATAGATATTCCGAAAGGAATAGACAGATACGAGAATAATTACACGAGTTTTACAGGCCAAATCATAAAAAGAGAAGGAACGACGGTTATCCATCGATAAGAGAACCTTTTTGCCACGATATGGGCGGCTCTTTGTTACCTTAGCAATATGGGGAGAATCCATGACTTAACTTGTACCCTTTGCAGGGAGAGTCATGAATCGAACCCACTCAGTAAGAAGACAACAGTGCATCGAATCCAGCTCTGTCACGATCAAGCTAGTGATGAGAAGGTCGCTTCCAGATCTCTATGAGCAGATGTACCTGCAAAATTAACAAACAAATAGCCCCAACTAGACAAGAGTGTGAGTCGATTTGTTAACTAGTATTTTATATATCTTATGCGTCTTTCGGTTGATGGTTATGTGTTTCTTTTCCAATGAGGCATTTTTTTATAATATTAATTGAAATGACAAAAAAATCTACTATCATTCAAAGATGTAAATTTTTCGCACAATTTTTATTTATTTATTTTTGAATGGAGCATGTTCTGCCGTACAACATTCATATCTAACAAATATACTATACACTTTCTCATTAAAAGGCTTCACCATATATTCAATTTCTCATTCCTCATGCTTCCACATTAGCCACCAATTATAACATTTTTTTTATTTTTAAAAATTACCGATGATTTCTTTTCCCATTATTACCCGACGGACTTTTCTAAGTAGTTCCTTTCCATCTTCCTTTTTACTATTTGTGGTTATTTACTTCATCATTTCATCTCTCTTTGATTTGCTTAGGAATAGGATAATGAATTTCAATGATTGTTAGCAAACTACATACTATGGTAGTAGTCTAACTGAACACCAAAATATATTCCGTCATAAGAAAATGCATGTTTTTTGGGAATTAGTTTTAAGCTAGAATTCTCCAATATGACTAATAATAACGTTGTGTATCGATATCATAAAGGTAGAATCATACATTAAGTCAAATTTTTTTTTTTGAATATGGTCGACATTTCTCAATTAATGAATAATTTAATTCCAAGTAAAATCAATCAAATGACAAAATATGACGAGCAATGATTTAGTATTTTCGTAATTTTCTCCTTTCTAACTTGAGAGTCGAATGATCAGTAGTTTGATTTTTATTCAGTGTTCTCTTTTTAATTTTCAGTCATCCAATTAGAGTGTGCCACCTAGCACACTCTCTCTTCCGTTTCAGTTCTCCTATTATTTTCAATCGGCTTGCATTCCTTTCGTTCAACTATGAAATCATATATTTTTTAGGCATAAACTTAATTATCTTAACTGAAATTTTTTGTCTTCCGGCCAACCAACTGACCGAGTTCAAAGCTAGTATTAGTAGCTGGATTAGTGATACAAAGGAGTTGGTGCAATAAAAAGAGGGCTTGTAAATATTTAATTAACTTCCTTGGATATGGATATGGTTTTTTTTTTTTGTCAATTAATTAAGGAAGGAGGGAATTCAATTCCCATAATCACAATTTGACAGTTTGGGTAGTAGGGAAATTACTGATTAATGAAGGTACCTTGTTAATATTTTCCTTTTCAAGATTTCACTTCATGTATTTATAGGGAAATTAAAGGGCGGAAAAAGAACACATGATTACTGCAGGCTATAGCTTTGATTAACTGAAATTAACAGGAAGCCATTATTGCCTATAGCTTACGACTCTCAATTTGGTTTGCTTCTTCTTATCCTTAACCCTCTTTTTTTTCATCTCTTTTTCTTTTTTTATTTATGAAAATCTCTCTGCCGGCCAGGCCAGTTTCAGAACAGAGGAGATGGCGACGAAGCTGCTGCTGCTGCCGCCGCCACCGCCGGCGGGACAGAAGACAATAATGTTGCAACTCTTTGTAATTTGGACTTCTCTGATCTCTTCAGGTTAGCCTTTTTAACTACTTGTTTTTAATAGTCGGTTTTCGTTAATGCCAACTTGTTTTTTTCATTTTACTTTTATAAAACACACTCTAAATCGAGCACATGCAAACCCTATATACTGATCAAAATTTCATAGTAGGTTTGAAAATAACAATAATACGAGTCACGGGCAAAATCGATTAGGGTTCCGCGTCCCTCCAGGCACGACTCAAATCTTGAGAGCGGATCGAAAACCGAAGATTTTGCATTCATCCATACGTTAATAAATATGATCATTGACTGATTTGTTAGGTTAAGGTTATCGCTTTTGTGCTTTAATGACTGAATTTTGGTCTAGATATTCTTGATCCATTGGAAATTTTGTAATTAACTAAATGAAATCCAAGGTATAGATCAAAGCTACAAAGTCTCTGATTTACGTTATAACTCAATTTGGATCTGGTAAAAAATAGATTTTGTTGATGGATCCTATTTCCATGGACTGTATGGTACAAACAAAACATTGTGATGATTAAACAAGATCAGTATGTTAATTTTTTTGTTTTGTTTATTTCAGTGATCACAAAATATCAAGTGGTGGATGAGATGGTGTGAAAAAATCAATTGAAGAGATTAGTTGAAATTTTAGGTTAGGGCCTTATGGGCATGAAAATAAGTGATTTTGGATGATTAATTGATAAGATTGTGTAAAAATATATGTGCTTTACACGAATGTTGAGACAGTATTTTTTGCCATAGGATGTGATGTTATACAATCATACAATTTCTTTTTATAGTCACTACTATGGTTTTATTATAATAGATTGGTACTTCACTCATTTGACTAAAAAAAAAAAGCAAAAAATTACACAAATAGCAATCGACAAACGATATTCGTTATATGTTCTGAAATCAAAGATTCCAATGCCCTAGCAGTGTGGGAGGCCGAAGATCGAAGTAGGTGTGTCCTTTTATATGATATAATCATATGAATAAATATTTTTAAAAAAAAAATAATATTCTCATAATTCATTTATAAAAGGAGGAAAATTTATTGATACAAGTTTCCTTTTGTATAAACAACCGCTGATGTATTTTTCTTATTCATAAGAAATTTTTTTTTAAAGCAAATTTGTATGGCAGGCTTTGTAGCAGAAGCTTTGCCCTACGACTATACCGCCAGCATTGAGGCAAGTTTCTTCACCTCCACCTTTGAATCCGATTCTCCATTGACAGCTGATTCCTTTCTTCCTTTCCTTCCTCCAACAAATTTTACAGTGCCTGGAAGTCCCACACCGCCCTCAGTACAGCGGCGGAATCATACTCAACCCAGAACTCAACCGCGGTTCGGCCGGTTGGTCCGGATTCGGAACCGCCCAAATCCAACACAGGGTTTCCTCCAAAACTGGCAACCACTTCATCGTCTCACATTCAAGAACTCAACCACACCACAGCGCTTCTCAGAAAGTTTACCTGCTGAAAGACCGCCTCTATGCTTTCTCCGGTAAAACCCTGCTGCAAAACCTTCTCCTTTTTCCCCTATTCATCGTTTTCTCAGAAAAAGATTGTAACTTTCTAGTTTGTTATTGTTAACAATGCCTACCCAGCTTGGTTGCAAGTCAGCCAGGGGAATGTCGCCGTGACGGCGGGTTTCAAGACCTCCGATGGGGGTTTCATCCCCGCCGGAGCAGTGATCGCCGAGCCTGGTTGCTGGTCCATGCTCAAAGGCGGCATCACAGTCAACACCTCCGGCGAGGCGGAGCTCTACTTCCACACCCGGAACTCCACCGCCGATTTGTGGGTCGATAGCGTGTCGTTGCAGCCCTTTACACATCAGGAATGGCGGTCTCATCAAGATCGAAGCATTGAGCAGGTGGGTTTGTTTACTTACATTATCAATTTGTTGATTATTGGTCCGACGGTATAAAAAAAATGAAACGGATTTGATTGATTGCAGACAAGGAAGGAGAAGGTGAGAATCCAGGTTGTGGATAAACAGGGGAATCCCCTGCCCAACGCAAATGTGACCATCAACCAGAACGGATTGAGTTTTCCTTTTGGATGCGCCATCAACAAGAACATTCTCTCAAATGCTGCCTACAAGAACTGGTTCACATCGAGAGGGTTTCGAGTCACGACGTTCGAGAACGAGATGAAGTGGTACACCAACGAGCCCTCGAGGGGCAGAGAGGACTACTCTGCCGCCGACGCCCTGCTCTGGTTCGCCCAGCAGCACAATGTGGCGGTTCGCGGCCACAACGTGCTGTGGGACGATCCCAATTACCAGCAAGGGTGGCTTAATTCGCTCTCACCGCGGGACTTTGGGACCGCGGTCAGGACGAGGATCAACTCCGTGGTGTCGAGGTACAAGGGGAAGCTGGTCGCGTGGGATGTGGTGAACGAGAATCTGCATTTCTCCGCGCTGGAGAACAAGCTGGGAAGCTACGCTTCGGCGCTTGCTTACAATCTGGCTTATAAAATCGATTGGGAGACGCCGCTGTTTATGAACGAGTACAACACAATCGAGGAGAGTGGGGATCCGGCTTCGACGCCGGTGAAGTACCTGCAGAAGCTGAGAGGGATCAGGAGGTTTTCCAACAACAACTGGATCAAGTTCGGGATCGGTCTGGAGTCTCATTTTGGGGTCCCTAATCTTGCTTACATGAGAGCGTCGATTGATACTCTGGCTGCTGCCAATGTGCCCATTTGGCTCACCGAGGTCGATGTCAAATCGAGCCCCGATCAGGCGAGTTACCTGGAGCAGGTTCTGAGGGAAGGCCACGCTCATCCCAAGGTGTCCGGAATGGTGGTGTGGGCGGCGTGGAGTCCGCAAGGCTGCTACAGAATGTGTTTGACGGATAACAATTTCAGGAACCTGCCGACTGGGGATGTGGTGGACAAGCTGCTGCACGAGTGGGGTGGTGGCCGAGAAGCTTCTGTCGTTGGAGAGACCGACGCGAATGGCTACTTGGAGGCTTCTCTGTTCCATGGAGATTACAACGTATCGATTGTTCACCCGAGATTGGGGAATTCTGGTTTGGTGCGGAAGGTTGTGGTGGCGCCATCATCGAATGCAACCCAGAGGAGACATTTGCTTGTTCAAGCCACAGAATAGCTCTTCTCCATTAGGCAGGCTCGTATCCTTGTTCTTTTGCTGGTGTTACTTGTTTAGTGAAAGAGTAAAGATAGGTAGGAATTCTTGGTATGGTTGTTGGCCATCCGTAGGAAAAATAATGAATTGTTAGGCAAGAAAGAACCCCATCAGATTCTCCTTTTTTGCCCTGAGAAGGAAGCAATCACAGGAAAAGTTGTACTTTTATCAAACCCCTGTAACATTCTTTCCAGCTCTTGGTGGCAATGAATTTGATGCATCAAAACGTTAGCATTCCCTTGTTTCTTGCACTTCACTCGTAAAACCCATTTCGTCAAGTTCCCAACTGACCTGTCTTTGATTCAGATGGATAAGGTGGAAAGTGAGAGATGAAGTTGGGAGTCACTGTTCTTTCATCATTCTCAGACTAGATGTATCATGTATGCATTATCTACGAGAACTGCACGATTGGTAATGGCTTATCTATCAAGATAATAGTGATTATCCCACTAAATCCATCTCTGCCACCTGAAATGTTTCCATGAGGTTCTGATGCTGGACTTGGTGCTCCAATTTCTTGAACTAGTGCAGCCATTTTGAGTGTAGTAGTGGGTTCCTTATTTGGTCCACTTTTGAGGAAACGTGGCTATCTTCTTCCCAAGACACACAGCAACTTTCATGGATTGTTTCATCTATATATTCAGTTTGATAGTCCATCTGCAACGCAACAAAGAGAATTAATTAGGCAGAACGTTACTACATGAAAAAAGACTTGACATTTACCAAACATTTATGCCAGTAAGAAGTTTGCTGATTCTGGCATTCTGCCCAGTATGTTGAAGAAAGTTTCAACTCTTTGGATTTGCTCGCTCTGCTGCAGTTTGCTGTCCAGCTTTTCTTATGCTGTTAGTTATGATCATTCTGCAACAGCTGAGGCAAGTACAGGATTTTACAATTTCCACTCTTTCATTGGAGCATCAAAATGAGTTCGTTTTGAGTTTCCGAAACTTTCTCCTGTGTTTGATTTCTATGTTGAGCAGTGCCTGAAAGTACCTCTGGAAGCTCAATATGGAGGAGGAATGATACGGAACTTGGAGGGATCGTATGTTATTGCACACAGTAGTACAGATTCACTTGATACTGTTTTCAAGACAGTTCAATTTGTGGAAGGGAATCTCTATGTTTTTTCAGGTAAGTCAACCGTTTCTTCTTCAGGAGTACCTCTTGGTGACTAGTTTTAAGTTTTTAACACAAAGAGCTTGATTTGGGTTCCTCGTAGGATGGGTCCGAGTTACTGGCGAGAGTCGAGAAGTAGGCGTTGTTTTCAAGACAAATCGCGGAGAGCTGATTCGAGGTGGTAGAGTTACCGCAAAGGCAGGATGTTGGTCTTTCATGAAAGGTGGCATCTTAGCAAACTTTTCAGGCCCTGCTGAGATTCACTTTGAGGTAACCAAACTGCAACAAATTGATTCACAGCCCTCTGTCCTGTTTAGTTCCTGATGGGGAAATTGGGCATATACTATGTAGAGCAAGAATACAAGTGCTGAAATATGGATTGAAAATGTCTCATTGCACCCTTTCACAATGAGCGAATGGAGATCTCATCAGGACAGAAGAGTTGCAACGGTATGTAAACCTACGAATCCCAACCATTTTCACTTCGTCGTAGCTAAAAGCAATCCTTGAAATTTTCCGTACTCTTCAGGAAAGAAAGAGCAAGGTGAGATTTCAGGTAAAGTACACGAATGGAACTTCATTGAGAGGTGCTAAGGTGACACTCAACCAGATCAGTCCAGAATTCCCATTTGGATGTGGGATGAACTATCGCATCCTGAGCAGCACAGGCTATCAGGAATGGTTCGCTTCGAGGTTCAAGTACACGACATTCACCAACGAGATGAAATGGTACAGCACCGAGAAGAGGCAAGGCCAAGAGAACTACACAACAGCAGATGCCATGATGAAGTTTGCCAAAGAGAAGGGGATTTCCGTACGAGGGCACAATATCTTCTGGGATGACCCCAAGTATCAACCTGGTTGGGTTAGGGACCTTAGCTCGGAGGAACTGGCAGAAGCAGCAGCAAAGAGAATTGACTCGGTGGTTTCCAGATACGCAGGAGTGCAGCTGATTGCTTGGGATGTAGTGAATGAGAACTTACACTTCAGCTTCTTCGAGGACAGACTTGGCAGAAATGCTTCTGCTGAGTATTTCTTAAGAGCTCACCAGCTTGATCCGAATGTGAGATTGTTCATGAATGAATACAACACCATTGAGTACAGTGGCGACGAGGATGCTGATCCAGTAAACTACAGGAATACATTTGAGGAGATTCTGTCATACCCTGGGAACCAAGAGATAAAGGCCGGAATAGGTGTTCAGGGACACTTTTCTTACAAGCAGCCTAACCTTGCTTACATGAGAAGTTCCTTAGACATTCTAGCTTCAACAGGAATTCCAATATGGCTTACTGAAGTCAGCATTGGGCCAGGGCCAAATCAGGTACTTGATTTGATCACGTAGAACCCTAGAACCAACATGGGTCCTGTACTAAATAAGAACTCAACTTTTGATTCCCGAGAACGTAATATTGATCAATTCGTTATGGTTTTTGCAGGCAGAATACTTGGAACAGGTGCTGAGGGAAGCCTACTCTCATCCTGGGGTGGAAGGGATTATCATGTTTGCAGGACCAGAAGCAGGCGGTTTCAACGAGACAACCTTAGCAGACAAGGATTTCAACAACACTGCTGCTGGAGATGTGGTGGATAAGCTGATTCATGAGTGGGAAACCAAACCTGCAACTTTTGAATCGGATGAGAAAGGGTTCTTTGAAGCTTTACTGTTCCATGGAGACTACAACATAAGTGTTGAATATCCAGACGAAACCACCGATCCATCGTCAGCTTTCTTGCATTACAAGGTTTCCAAAGATGTTAAATTACAGGATCCACTCTCCACGTTCCTGATAGAGTACTCCCCCCCTCTGTAGCCTTTGCTTCCTGAAAACTGTAAAACCATAAAAAGGGTGAAAAAAACAGAAGTGATGCATGAAGAGAACGTGTAACTAATTAGTGGAAGATGGGATTCCCTAGAAAGCAAGCTGCTTCCCTTTTTCTGGCAGAAACGAACAGATAACTGAAACATATGAAGGAAAAAAAAATGAAACGGAATGACTGCACATGGAATAACATCAATCCCCTATGCAGAATTGCTTCTTCCCTGAAGTATTTCAGATTGTAACGCTTCCTTCTTTTTTAAGTAAAATGGGAAACTTTTGTAGATAATTAATCATCTTAGCAATTAATTATCGTTGTTTGTCACTATGTGCATTATCCAACTCAGAGAATATTTCTCTTAATGCTACTCCTTACTGCAATTGAAATCAAAATCGTTCTGTCATTTGTTCCTCAATTCTCTCTTTTTGTCGTACAGAGCTGAATCATTCATGTGAGGCTGCATTGCTTGTTAGCCACGGTAATTACCCAAAACCATGCGTTTACAGCTTCAACCAGTGGGTAATTAATCATTAAACGAGAAATGTTTAGCATATAAGTATCCCATCTAATCAACGTCTAATTTTCCCTTGAGACAAACATTCTCAACTCTGTAACTTCAAAACAGAAGATGGGAGAAAATGGGGAAGCTTACCTCCTGATGCTTTTATGCCTTCTTCTCCATTCCGGTGCTGTAGATTTTCTCCCCCTCTGCCTTTGTTCCCATTTCCATATGTATTGGTCTGCGTTCAAATTAATGAACAAGCATGTTAATGTTCCCACTCTGGAATGGATGCAGGGCACTGTAACTCCTTCGATGGAATTCCATATGACTACTCAGCAACAATTAAGGCAAGATAAGGACTTGCAACATTTCTCTCATTTGCAGCCATAAACAGACAAGACTCATCAAAAGCTAATTTAACCGCAACACTTGACATATTCTTCTGCTGCAGTGTATGGCTGTTCCTGCTAGGCCTCTCTATGGAGGAGGAATCTTTAGTAACAGCATGAACTGGACATCTAGAACGAGGCAGAATGTTCATCTGGAGGAAGGAAACCTTTACGCATTCTCTGGTAAAGTCATACATTATTCTCGATTTTTGTTTCTCTTCATTGCATAGTACTATATGTAGACTGAATCTAAGACCTGTGGAAAAACTCGTTCAGCTTGGGTTCAGACGAGCAAAGGAAGTGGGATCGTTGTGGATGCTGTCGTCAGGACTTCAAGGGGCGAACTCCACAATATCGGCAAAGCCATTGCTAGCAATGGGTGCTGGTCTATGCTCAAAGGTGGCTTGTCTCCAAACTCGTCAGGCCTTGCAGAGGTTTCGTTTCAGGTACTTGGACCATCAAACTCTTCTTCTTTGCTCCCGCTTCCTCTCATTTCTTCAATATTATATCAGTTCCTGCCTCTCAATTCTCCAGAGCAAGGATCCAACAGCTGAAGTATGGGTTGAGAATGTCGCCCTGCAACAATTCACCATGAAGCAATGGAGATCGCACCAGGACCACATCATCGAAAAGGTAACAAAAAATCTTTGTAGAGGCTATAACCCCCCCTTAAAATTCTGACTTGGGCAGCATCCAATTTTGCAGATCAGAAAGAGCAAGGTGAGATTCCGCATACTGGACCGCAATGGGAACGCACCTGTGCCGAAAGCGTCCATAACCATCAAGCAAACAACCCCAAGCTTCCCATTCGGATGCGGGATGAACCTCCACATCCTCTCCTCCAAACCCTACCGCCACTGGTTCGCCTCGCGATTCAAGCACACGACATTCACAAACGCCATGAAATGGTACAGCACAGAATTAGTCAGGGGACAGGAGAACTACACCACGCCGGACGCCATGCTTCGATTCTGCAAGAAACACAACATCTCCATCAGGGGCCACAACGTGTTCTGGGACAACCCCAAATGCCAGCCCCAGTGGGTGAAGAACCTGACGGGGGAGGAACTCCGAGCAGCCGCGGCGGAGAGGATGAATTCGGTGGTGTCGAGGTACAGAGGGGAGCTGATCGCTTGGGACGTGGTGAACGAGAATCTGCACTTCAGCTTCTTCGAGGATCGGCTGGGGAAGAATGCTTCGGCGGAGTTCTTCGGGAGGGCGCATGAGATCGATCGGAATGTGAGGCTGTTCATGAACGAGTACAATACGGTGGAGAACAACGGCGACGACACTGCGCATCCGGTGAATTATCTGCGGCGGTTTGCGGAGATTCTGGCGTTTCCGGGGAATGAAGGGATACCGGCGGGGATCGGGTTGCAGAGTAGCAGTTTTGGGCATGGGAAGCCGGATCTGGCCTACATGAGGGCCGCTTTGGACCTTTATGGATCCATGGGTTTGCCACTGTGGCTTACTGAAGTTTCCGTGGACCAAGGCCCATATCAGGTAAATTTAATTTTCTGTTCCTTGTTTATTTTATTTTATTTAGCCGTCCGAATTTAGAGTAACCTAGGAATGACAATGGATTATGGTAGGACCCGCTGTAACAAAGTGGCACGTGGGGCTGAGGTTTGTGGGTATAAAAAAAAACAATGGATTATGGATCAACTCATTAAGTGATTTCACACAAATAAAAAAAACGACACCATCGTGTATTCTTTTGTTTATCCAATGGTATGAGTCCAATTTAGACACTAACTAAAATTTTGGGTATGCCCCAAACGTAAAAAAAAAATTACTCAAACCTGATTTGCGCAGTAGTAAGTTAAGTTTAGAGAAGAATACCAGAATATTGGGTAATTTTTGTCATCTCTACGGTAACCTGAATTAGTAAACCATGAGTAGGAGTGGGCAACAATGCCGGTCCACACCAGACCGAATCGAACCAAATCAATATTTGTACAAAATCGAATCGAATCGAATATATTTCAATTTGACTCTACGAATTACTTTATATGTATGAAGAAAAAACGGACCGAAATTGACTTTGGAAATGATTGAATCAAACCAAACGAACCAACCATGATGCTGGTAAGGTTCTGGTCCTCTTTTTTTTTTTTTTTTTTTTTCCTACGATCTTGTTTCACTCTGATTCGGTTCTAAACTTAATCGACCGATGTCCACCCTTAAACCATGAGTATAATGATTATTAATCAATGTTTACTAAATCAAGCTGATGTTGCTTCGTTGTGGTTTTTGTGGGATGTGATAATATACAGGGAGAGTACTTGGAGCAGATTCTGAGGGAAGGTTACTCCCATCCGGCGGTGGAAGGGATCATCATGTTCGGCGGACCAGAAGAAGCTGGTTACAAAGAGCTGACCTTAGCAGACTACGAGTTCAGCAACACTGAAGCTGGGGATGTGGTGGATCGGCTGCTCGGAGAGTGGAAATCTCCAATCACTGAAGCTGAAGCAGATGAGGAAGGGTTTTGTGAAGCTTCTCTGTTTCACGGAGATTACGAGATAGCTGTGAGGAAGGCGGGAGCGAATTCAGTCACCAGTTTGATCAGTTACAAGCTGTCATCTGCTCATCCAGGAGAGACTGCTGTCCATCTTCGTGTTGGTGATTGATATCATCCAAGTTACAGCAATTCATGTGTTAATTAAGTTTATGATATATGCATAAAAAAAGTGGTAATAGTGCCTCTGCTCAAACCGTATTATTATTTTCACAAATTATCAGAAGATGATATCCAAGTTATGGAAATGCCATGCTTGTTTATAAATTCGTCATTGCATGTATATGAGGTATGACTATTTAGTAAGTACTCAAATGAATCGCACTTGTTTTGAAGACTTCATAGACACTATCCATTAGGGGTGGGCATCCGGTTCGGTAAACCCGAGCCGACTTAAAACCGAACCGAAACCAAAACCGAATTTCCCACAAAATTAGAAATGACAATCGTTTTGTTTGGCATTTTCAGAACTCTTGCACACTCATAGTCCATACGGCCTAATGACTTGCCTAATCATAGTTTTGGGTGATTTTTCTAAAATGTTATTTTCTTTCGATTTTAGAGGCTACAAATCACAAAATCAGGACGAGCCTATTCTCCACCGATAATAAAGTCTATTGATCCTATTCTCCACGGATAATAAGTCCATTAAACACCGATTTGGGCCAATTTATTTTCAGAGGACATTTCGTAATTTTGTGGGCGTCGAAAGGCTATTTTCTTTGGATTTTGAAGGCTACAGATCATGGATTCGGCATGAGACTATTCTCCACGGATAATAAGTCCATTAAGCACCGATTTGGGCGGATCTATTCCGGGTCAATTTTTGGCAGATTGCAAAGGGGTAACATCACAGATTTTGGGCGACTTTTCCGAAATGTCATTTTCTTTCGATTCTGGAGGCTACAGATCACGGAATCAGGCTGAGGCTATTCTCCACAGATAATGAAGTCTATTGATCCTATTCTCCACCGATGATAAGTCCATTAAGCACCGATTTGGGCCAATTTATTTTTCGGATGGCATTTTCGTAATTTTGTGGGCGTGGAAAGACCATTTTCTTTTCATTTTGAAGGCTACAGATCACGGATTCGGCCTGATGCTATTCTTCAATGATGCTTAAGTCCATTAAGAACTGATTTGGGCGGATTTATTCCGGGTCAATTTTTGGCAGATTGCAAAGGGGTACTATCACATATTTTGGGGATTTTTCTGAAATGTCATTTTCTTTCGATTCTGGAGGCTACAGATCACGGAATCAGGCCGAGGCTATTCTTCACTGATAATGAAGTCTATTGATCCTATTTTCCACGGATGTTAAGTCCATTAAGCACCGATTTGGGCAAATTTATTTTCGGATGACATTTTCGTAATTTTGTGGGCGTCGAAAGGTCATTTTCTTAGGATATTGAAGGCTACATATCACGAACTCGGCCTGAGACTATTCTTAGACGATGATTAAGTCCATTAAGCATCGATTTGAGAGGATTTATTCCGAGTCAATTTTTGGAAGATTGCAAAGGGGTACCATCACAGATTTTGGGCAATTTATCCGAAATGTCATTATCTTTCAATTCTGGAGGCTACAGATCACAGAATCAGACCGAGGCTATTCTCAACCGATAATGAATTCTGTTGATCCTATTCTCCACGGATGATAAGTCCAATTAAGCACCGATTTGGGTCAATTTATTTTCGGATGGCATTTTCGTAATTTTGCGGGCGTCGAAAGACCATTTTCTTTGGATTTTGAAGGCTACAGATCACGGATTCGGCATGAGACTATTATCAAAATGATGATTAAGTCTATTAAGCACCGATTTGGGCGGATTTATTTTGGGTCAACTTTTGGCAGATTGCAAAGGGGTACCATCACAGATTTTGGGCGATTTTTCCGAAATGTCATTTTCTTTCGATTCTAAAGGCTACAGATCACGGATTCAGGTCAAGACTATTCTTCACCGATAATGAAGTCTATTGATCCTATTCTCCACGGATGATAAGTCCATTAAGCACCGATATGAGACTATTCTTCCACGATATTAAGTCCATTAAGCACCGATTTGTGCGGATTTATTCCGGGTAAATTTTTGGCAGATTGCAAAGGGGTACCGTCACAGATTTTGGGCTATTTTTCCGAAATGTCATTTTCTTTTGATTCTGAAGGCTACAGATCACGGAATCAGGCAGAGGTATTCTCCACCGAATAATGAAGTCTATTGATCCTATTCTCCACGGATGATAAGTCCATTAAGCACTGATTTGAGCCAATTTATTTTCGGATGGCATTTTCATAATTTTGTGGGCGTCGAAAGACCATTTTCTTTGAATTTTGAAGGCTACAGATCACGGATTCGGCTGAGGCTATTCTTCAATGATGATTAAGTCCATTAAGCACCGATTTGAGCGAATTTATTCTGTGTCAATTTTTGGCATATTGCAAAGGGGTACCATCATAGATTTTGGACTATTTTTCTGAAATGTCATTTTCTTTCGATTCTGGAGGCTACAGATCACATAATCAGGACGAGGCTATTCTTCACCGATAATGAAGTCTATTGATCCTATTATCCACGGATGATAAGTCCATTAAGCACCGATTTTGGCCAATTTATTTTCTGATGGCATTTTCGTAATTTTGTGGGCGTCGAAAGGCCATTTTCTTTGCATTTTGAAGGCTACAGATCACAGATTTTTCTTGAGGCTATTCTTCAACAATGATTAAGTCCATTAAGCATCTATTTGGGTGGATTTATTCCAGGTCAACTTTTGGCAAATTGCAAAGGGGTACCATCACAGATTTTGGGCAATTTTTCCGAAATGTCATTTTCCTTCGATTCTGTAGGCTACAGATCACAGAATCAGGCTGAGGTATTCTCCACCGATAATGAAGTTTATTGATCATATTCTCCATGGATGATAAGTCCATTAAGCACTAATTTTGGGCAATTTATTTTTGGATGGCATTTTCGTAATTTTGTGGGCGTCGAAAGACCATTTTATTTGGATTTTGAAGGCTACAGATCACAGATTCGGTCTGAGACTATTCTTCAACGAATATTAAGTTCATTTAGCACCGATTTCGGCGGAATTATTCCGGGTCAATTTTTGGCAGATTGCAAAGGGGTACCATCACAGATTTTGCGCGACTTTTCGGAAAATTCATTTTCTTTCGATTCTGGAGGCTACAGATCACGGAATCAGGCCGAGGCTATTCTCCACTGTTAATGAAGTCTATTGTTCCTATTCTCCATCGATGATAAGTCCATTAAGCACTGATTTGGGTCAATTATTTTTTTATAGCATTTTCGTAATTTTGTGGGCGTCGAAAAGCCAATTTCTTTCGATTTTGATGGCTACAGATCACGGATTCGGCCTGAGACTATTCTTCAACGATGATTAATTCTATTAAGCACCTATTTGGGCGGATTTATTGCAGGTCAATTTTTGGCAGATTGGAAAGTGGTACCACCATCATAGATTTTGTGCGATTTTTTCGCAATGTCATTTTCTTTCTATTCTGGAGGCTACAGATCACGCAATCAGGCCGAGGAATTCTCCAACGATAATGAAGTCTATTGATCCTATTCTTCACGGATGATAAGTCCATTAAGCACCGATTTGGGTAATTTAATTTCGGATGGCATTTTCGTAATTTTGCGGGCGTCGAAAGGCCATTTTCTTTGCATTTTGAAGTCTATAGATCACGGATTCGGTCTGAGGCCATTCTTCAACAACGATTAAGTCCTTTAAGAACCGATTTGGGCGGATTTATTCCTGGTCAATTTTTGGCAGATTGCAAAGGAGTACCATCACAGATTTTGGGCGATTTTTCTAAAATGTCATTTTATTTCGATTCTGGAGGTTACAGATCACAGAATCAGGCCGAGGCTATTCTCTACCGATAATGAACTCTATTGATCATATTCTCCACGGATGATAAGTCCTGAAGCACTGAATTGGGCCAATTTATTTTCGGATGGAATTTTCGTAATTTTGTGGGCGTAGAAAGACCATTTTTTTTTCATTTTGAAGGCTACAGATCACTGATTCGGCCTGAGGCTATTCTTCAACGATGATTAAGTCCATTAAGCACCTATTTGGGCAGATTTATTCCGGGTTAATTTTTGGCAGATTGCAAAGGGGTACCATCACAGATTTTAGGCGATTTTTCCGAAATGTCATTTTCTTTCTATTCTGGAGGCTACAGATCACGGAATCAGGTGAAGGCTATTCTCCACCGATAATGAAGTCTATTGATCCTATTCTCCACGGATGATAAGTCCATTAAGTATCAATTTGGGCCAATTTATTTTCGGATGGCATTTTCCTAATTTTGTGGTCGTCGAAAGGCCATTTTCTTTTCATTTTGAAGGCTACAAATCACGTATTCGGCATGAGGCTATTCTTCAACGATGATTAAGTCCATTAAGAACTTATTTGGGCGAATTTATTCCGGGTCAATTTTTTGCAGATTGCAAAGGGAACCATCACAGATTTTGGGCAATTTTTCCGAAATGTCATTTTCTTTCGATTCTGGAGGCTACAGATCACGAAATCAGGCCGAGGCTATTCTCCACAGATAATGAAGTATATTGATCCTATTCTCCACGGATGATAAGTCCCTTAAGCACCGATTTGGGGCAATTTATTTTCGGATGGCATTTTCGTAATTTTGTGGACGTCGAAAGGCCATTTTCTTTGCATTTTGAAGGCTACAGATCACGGATTAGGACTGAGACTATTCTTCAATGATGATTAAGTCCTTTCAGAACCGATTTGGGCGGATTTATTCCGGGTCAATTTTTGGCATATTGCAAAGGGGTACCATCACAGATTTTGGACTATTTTTCCGAAATGTCATTTTCTTTCGATTTTGGAGGCTACAGGTCACATAATCAGGACGAGGCTATTCTCCACCGATATTGAAGTCTATTGATCCTATTCTCCACGGATGAAAAGTCCATTAAGCACCGATTTGGGCTAATTTATTTTCGGATGGCATTTTCGTAATTTTGTGGGCGTCGAAAGGCCATTTTCTTTGCATTTTGAAGGCTACAGATCACTAATTCGGCCTGAGGCTATTCTTCAACTATGATTAAGTCCATTAAGCACCTATTTGGGCGCATTTCTTCCGGGTCAATTTTTGGCAGATTGCAAAGGGGTACCATCACAGATTTTTGGCGTTTTTCCGCAATGTCATTTTCTTTCTATTCTGGAGGCTACAGATTACAGAATCAGGTCGAGGCTATTCTTCACCGAAAATGAAGTCTATTGATCTTATTCTACACGGATGATAAGACCATTAAGCACCGATTTAGGCCAATTTATTTTCGGATGGCATTTTCGTAATT